GTTTGTTTGTTTGTTTATCCGGGGTAGCCCAAACAGTTTAAGCTGGTTTTCATTGGGGCCCTGCATTTGAAACAGACAAATACTTATTTAAAAATTAAACTAGAATAGAGATTAAGATCGACCGACCGATAATCAAAGGTACTTGGAAATGACGGGACTAATTGGAAAAAAAAAGATGCAGACAGTATCCCCATTTGCATTTTGAAACTAAAAATGGCTTCCAGTCCGGCGTTGCAGGACCTATCAATTCAGAGGGCTCTGTTGTAAAGGATGACTTGGTGTCATTGACCGCTTTGGAAGCGCAGTCATTAACACTATCGAAACGAATGTGACGAAACATACCCATGATTCAAGGCAGCTAGACTTGGAGTGGACAAGAACAGTTTTGAAAATATTGATAAACGGTATTATGCAGTCCCACTTACCAGCAAAAACTGGGCCAAGCAGGGTCCCAGCACCGAGAAAGATCATGCTGAATCCAACACCAATCGCTAGGTTGCTCAAGCCGACGAAACTACGAATTAAAACAACCGTAACGGTGAAATCGAATCCTGACGCGAATCCATGAAGAAACGAAGCCACGGCAAAAATGGCGTAGCTGTTCAGGTTCACCAGCATTACAGACACCCCAGCGATCACCATGGAGGTCATGGTGGCGTGCTCGGTCGACATGTTCCGGCTCGCCAGCACTCCGTTTCCTAGACAACCGAGCAAGCTCCCAATGCCCAATATACTGAGCAGGAAGGCGGCACCAGTGGGAGCCATATCCAGGCTCTGAGCATAGGGAACGAGGTAGAGCACAAATCCCGTGAAGGCGAACATGAATTGTAGCTGAATGACGCACGTCAGAGCGAAGCGGTAACTCCTGGCGAAAAGCCTGAGCCCTAGAGAAACAAACAGTCTCCGGAGGACGTTTATGGCGGGGTTTGAGTGCTTGCGATCAGAATGGAGCGGGATTGAACCCGCCTGGCTACTAGGACGTGCCTGGTGCGTTGCCTGCACTGCTTGGAGCTCACCAGGGGTTTCCGGGTGAGATCTTGAGTCGGTGTCGCTGCCATCAGGGGTAATTTCTTCATTTGGATTCTCCGTTAAAGCCATTCCGACGTGCACAGATAGCTCTAACTGATCCGCGTCAGGTTGCCTTGAAGATTTCTGCCGGAGCGGAGCTTTATTCGGGCGGAAAACAGCCGCAAAAGAGACGGTGTTTGCCGCAATGGCGGAGGCGACCATCATCGTTCCCCGCCAACCGTAGCCTTCCAGGAGAATTTGCAATAGAGGTGGTACCACCATGCTCCCTGTCCCAACGCCAGCGTAGACCAACGCGTGTGCTATTTTGTACCTCCTGTTGAAGTATTCCGAGACAACAACTATACTTGAATTGTAAGATATCCCTGTGCCAATTCCTATTAAATAAAGAGAAAACAGCGATGAAAACAATTTTTTTTGTGCCAAAAATTTTAGCTTCCTCCATCAGGCTCGGGTTTACCAACAACGACGGGACAAAACAAGAACAGTATTTTCTAGAATTGTAACGTGGATGATTAATAGACTAAAAAAAAATACAACCCCAAAACAGCAAGTCTGATTGGTCCAAGCCACTTGGGCTCATCAGCACGGTTTTCACCTCCGGTTTCCTTGGCATGAAATGACTAAGCATATTTCTTTTCCCCCCTGTATGGGATGCCAGTCCATCGCAGGTTGCTTCCCCGCCTAATGCTGGTACCTGGAGAGAGGCAAGCAGGGGTGACGTGGCTTGCCAAGGGCCACAACATACTGCCAGTAGCTGGATTCGAACCTTCAACCCTATGATTGGAAACCATAGACCCTAAACCACTTGGCCACATTCCCCCCTTATGATAAATAGATACATGCGTTTAACGCTGTAACAGAGTTTTCTGTGAACTTCACGATCAAACTACGCAAATTCTCTAAACAGTTCATAAAATGTACATTACATAATAAACGCACCTACATAACCACATGTGCAACTTCAAGCGCCAGTGTTCCCTGCTGTATTCATTTGCTGCGATTGCCCTATAAAGTACTGATAGCAAAGGTTGAAATGAATAACTACAGTAATGGTCAAAGAGTCTGTTTTCGTCCAAGCTAACTTCCCGAACTCTGATAAAATCCTCTGTATGAGATTACTAGAAATGGTGCGTGATTTTCACAGAGTATGGCCGACAGTACCACACACGGTAGGGAGTCATTGTCCACCGGTTTAGGGCACCGAGGTATACAGACCCTTTTCTCTGTTTTTCAAAGCTGACCGTCATTTTGTGTGTGTGGCCTAAAGTAGTAGAAAGGTTGATTTTCTAAGTCCATAGATATCGCGTTTTGTCCCCGGACTTCGGTCAAAATCCATCGGCACGACTAATCGTTTCAGTAACATAATTTGCCGAGTTTCGACTTATTTAATGACTTGAAAATGCGTTCTCACAACATTATCCATATAAACATGCAGCGCAATACGTATGCAATGCATTTCTGCCTTGAAATCCAGCACGAAGCGTAACGTCGGGATTCACCCATCAGTTAACGAGTTCCTCTAAGTACGTCGGAGACTCTTTGCAGATAGGCCTATGGCAATGTTCATCGACCACCATACACTGAGCGAGATCAAATGTGAATTAAAATAAAACTTGTATTGTAAAATATTTTATTTATTTTAACAGTCTCTGCCCTATACGTGTAATGAATCATGTAATGTTACCGTGACGCAGCACAGAGTACAAACCCACTCGACGTAATGACAGTGTACGGTGGTCATACCGTCTGCAGAAGGTCGGTGAAAAACAGAGCCAACTTGATATCACCGACTTGCCAGATACTGTCAGCATGTTGTCAGCCGTGTACTTTTGTCGTCGAGGACTGCTTATAATAATATGCTCGGGTTTACGGCGCGCCTCCCAGGCATTTCGAGAGCACGTCCCAGGTACACCCTCCATTCGAATCGCTACCTTCGATCAATGACGCACGTAAATGAATGTACCTTGAGCGTGGTGGCAGCTATGCATGTGGTACATGGCTCATGTATGAAACAAGATATGGGACGGAAAGCACCGCCACCACCTTTGTGTTGGTAATTGTTTGATCGGAATCTCAGGAAATTCTTTACAGACATCTTGGGGGGGGGTGTTAGGTAACAATAGTCTAATGTGTGTACAGGGATTGGACATGTACGGGGGGGGATACCCCTCCGTCCCATGTCTTGCTTTGCTGGGTATAAAGGCTCCTCACAGGCCTGAACTTTACTCTCGGAGTTTGAACCAATCAGGACGCTCGCACAAAATTCGCTAGTGATTCCTATAGATCGTTTCCGGTGATGTCACGATCGTGCTGGACCCATGCTGTGTTGTGATGGTAATGAGTGCATAGTGTTGTGATTGTAATCTACCTATTCAAGATAAACTAGTCAAGCATGCAACGCTCGCACGTGCACGTGGTTGAAGCTGCCCGTAGGAATATAATGGGATCACCGTGGCCAAGGCGGCCCACACGTGGTGGTATTGTTTACATTTAGTCAGGTGGGTGAAAAGGGTCTATAGACCTTTTCACTAATAATTCATAATTATGCACGCATGCACACAAATGGCCTTGGCGGCAAGGGCCATTAAAAATGTACAGGGTGCGATTTTGATCATTTTTTTTTCAGGTTTTTATGGCTTTCTTCACTGTTTGTCTTTAGAAAAATCCCATTAAAATCGTGTTTGCTATTCTAATCTAAGCGGGATTTTTCCCGCACTTGTGCTCTGTAAAAGACTTTATAATCGTGATTAACCTGCTTATAATAGAAACTAATGGCAAAAACGATTTAATGGGATTTTCTGAAGAAAAAAACGGACCAAAGAAAACCGGAGAGAAAATGATCAAAATCGAACCTCTGTACATTTTCAATGGCCCTTGCCGCCAGGGCCATTTGTGCACATGCGTGCAAATTATGAATTTATAACTAAAAAGGTGTATTATGTCGGGTACAAAGCTGAAAACGTATTCCACAAGTCTACGTAACAAGGTCGATCATCTACAAGTTGGGGACGAGGCAACCAACGAACCTACGCATAGAAATACGTGTATACCGTACGTGTATGTGGATCACAGCGATGCTGCGCGTGCACAACAATCAATGACCAACTTGGCGCAAAGTCTGTATAGCTGAAATTTCTCCGGTGGTTGTTTGGCAACGACACACTTTGCATGCATTTAGTTTGTGTATTCGCGCATGCGCAATAGTGACATAATGGTCGTCGGCCTGAAATATTATTTTAGCAGACTACGCATATCCGATCTAGGAAAGAAATGTAACACAGCTGTTCCGCTACGAGTTCATGAAAAGGCCCTCCGTGGCGTCGACCAATCTAAACATGCTTTGCATGTAGCGAGTGTGACATCTTACCTACAACAGCAGCTGTTAAGTAGAGCTGGCGTATGTCGGTCACCCAGCAGCTGCCGAGGAATCCAAGAGACATCAAAACTCCGCCAATGATTCCTGAGACTCTGCAGCCGAGTCGCTCCGTCAGAACCCCGCTGATGAGGCCTGGGAGAAGGAATTGAAAGAAAAGGGGAAACCGTTTGGCCAGTTTCAATCAAAACAGTATGGTGTAGAATTTATGTTGCGAAAAAATTTCAGAAAATGCACTATCGCACAATATCAAAGACACAGAGCAGTGTACATTACGACTACTTTATTTGAAATTACCACTTAAGTACGACAGAGATGAACTGACGCTCTGCACGGCAGCCGTCTCTTTGTCATTTATGGCGAAGTCTTCCTTCCAGCTGAGGTACAAGACACTCCCGGTTCGCTGGAAACCCCACTGGATCGCCATGGACAAGTGCGCCGCGATGACCACCACAATACCCCAGCCGCCTTCCCGTGGGTGATCCGGCCGATCCGCCGCCCTCCGCCGGCTGAAGAAGTGGGATGCTTTTGCCATATTGTACTTGCGTTGCGGACAAGGATTGCTATAAAATGACGAGAACACTAAAACTCAGCCTCTCTGTCCACACGGGCATCAGATCCCTCACTATTCCAAAGCAAAAACTACGCCAAATGTGGTAACGCCGCGAACATGAAAGATAGAGCAGGAAAGTATCGAGGATAAGAAAACAAACAAACATATGATCTCGATTTCTCGAGATGTACAAAGCTAAGTTACGATTAGTCACCACGCTGCATCACTTGCAAGATATTGTAAAACTGCCCGCGAGGAATATTGTTTGCTGATGTTTAGCATATAATGGACTAGGGTAGATACATGCTAGCAGTATAGGCCTACAATGCAGCGAAGGCAAAAATGCAAAAAATATAAAAACATGAAAAACACATGGCTAAAAATACTGTAGGCCGTTTGTTTCATTTATCAGATCAAAGTGCAAAGTTCCGTAACTAGGTGCAAGCGGCGTGACATCCATTCAAGTTGCTTGAACTGACGTCGTGTCTCTTGATAAGCTGAGTTACATGTACCTTTGGAATCCCTTCCGTCACTAATGGAATCCCTTACAGTATCCTGAAAACGAACAGAGCACACCGTCCGAAACGTTTAACACTTCGGTTCGTTTCAGAACCACATTATACTCACAAGAGAGATATTTTGCATGGCGCTGCCGCATACCTTTTTATTTACTCAACTTGCTGCCCTCACAATGAAAAGCTTCAAAACTCTCATCGTCAGAAGATGTTCAACACGTTGGCACAGCTAGCCACCCTCTATTGGCCTCATTTACAAGTTGGACATAATTGAAAGCGAGGTTAACTTTTTTTTCTTTCTGGAGCCTGATAACAAAATGACCGCAATGAAATAAAGCTGATTTACAAATTCATGCCATTTATGCTGCTCAATAATTTGGAATTTGTAAATAATTATATCTAAATGTTTTACGCCACATTGAAAAATGTGAAAGTTAGGCAACTGAAACTTAGGTATGGAACCAGAAATAGTCCATTTATGAGATTACATTGAATAAAATAAATTCTGGGAGCTCAATAAAAAAATGAATTCCCAGTGAATAAGGTCTGGCGCTCTGAAAGGAGATGCTCACCATTCGTGATTAGGCAACCGCGGTTAAGGAAAAAAACGGAAAAAAATTCTCCTCAATGATCTCCAATGATTCAAAATCAAACTTGGGCATATAGCAAACCTTCGCTGGCTTGTAGTAATTTATTAACAACTTACGACAAGATCTGACTAATTTGCAATGAATAATTCACGCATGCAATATTATTTTAAATAATTCATAACATATAATATAAGATACGTAGTTTATTTTAAGTAGCACTTTATAGCAGTTCTTTACTTTCCCGATTTTAGTTAAATTTGTGGGTGTGGAAAAGAAACAAGCTTGGAGACAGAAATAATTCATACAGATGGTTTGTTACGCCATCACTTCATCCCAGTCATCAGCTCCTATTCTAAGCTTTAAAAAAAATGCAGTCTTCGGGAAGCGTTTAAACTTCGTCCTATAGACAAATTCAACGACCCAAATTAGAAGCCATTCCCACGCGGCCATCCTGTTCGCCCGCAGGCGGTGCAGGCGCGTGAAGTTCCTCCTTGACCAGAAGCCAATTGCCGAAGTGCACGCACGCGCTCAGGTTGAGACAGCTGCGTGAGTGTAAACGGCCCTTCGGAATGGTGTCTTATCGGATTTGTCTTGAAAAAGTCCTTTTTTTGTAACAGTTGTACAACTCAATTTAGTTATCTGCTGCCGGATGACTTAATATTCATTTTAAGTCTCAAAGACAAACTGGTCATACCTAGGGCTATTTATTACTCCTACTCGAGACCTGCACATAGCTATATAATACTGTAAACGGGTTGTAATGTAGCATTTTTTGTCGCCACTAGGTTGGCTCTAACTGCCGTCGAAGGGTTTCCGGTGGAGCGCATTGGCCTGCTTCTTTAAACGGGTAATTCTGTTACAGGTTGTACGCACACCGGAAATTGGCTCCAATTTTGGACTCCTGTTCCTTTGTTAGGTCGGCTGCGCACGGAAAGGGTTTGGCCTGTTTCCAGGGCGGTGCCATTTTTACACATTTTTTTCCTTGTGTGTGTGCGTACTTCTTGGAAAAGTTGTTGTTCTGATAGCCTTGCCCAAGACTGGTTTTACTGTTTAGGCCGGTGCGCCATGCAGGCGCCTAGCATTTCGTCAAGGCCTTCGGGGCTGTGTTTATGTGTAACTGCAAAGCGGCTGGACCAGAGACTACATGCACGAGTGTCGCAGCCACGAGGCCTTTTCCAAATTGTCAGGAATTTCTTATGTTTTTCTTTATGTTTCGATTTTTGGGGGAAGCAAAAATCACAACCGATCATAAGCCAGAGGGTCAGCATACATTAACCTATTATGCAAATTGAGTATACGAAAGATGACGAACGTGTCAAGTGTGTCTGCAGCCATGAGTGCTGGTCAGTTGTCTGAGCAGTATTTGGACAGTTCTTTAAAATATGCTGCTGGAAAAACTTCACCTTGCCGAGTTTAAACCGTTGCAGTGTTAGACTATTGAAGAATCTGTGCGCGGGCGTGACGTTTTCGTCCTTACCCACGGAATGTGGTAAGAGCTCCATATTTCAAGCACTGTCGTTTTGCTTTGACCATTTGGCCTTGATGAACTGCTACTTGCTGGTGTTACTCCAACGTCAGCACCGTCCCCCACCCACAAGCATCATAGTGGTCATCTCACTGCTTATTGCCCTCATGAAAAACCAGATGGAAACATTGCGTAAGCTTTGGAGTTGATGCCGTTATTTCGGAGACTCATCTGCTTCAACTATTTACATGAAATTTATGAATAATACACATCAGGAAGCTTATGAATAATTCATCACAAAAAATCAAAATCAAATTGGAAAAGGCCTCGTGGCTGCGCAACTCGCCTGGTCTCCTGTCCAGTTGCTTTGCAGTTACACACACACATGCAGCCACGAAGGCCTTGACGAAAGGCTATAAGTTGCCGTGTCACGCGTAGCCCCGCGGATTTCTCGTCCACACAAAGTGACTGTAAGGCGAGGTCAGCGAAAAACGGCCTGGAAGTAGGCTTTGAAAAATGTCTTGAGATTTCGTCTGGTGAGAGTCTTGGGTTGGGAAGCATGTGACTATGTTTTTCAAAGGTGGGCAAGTTTTTGGCAAATTGAGTGGTGAGGTCAACACGTCTGTCTGAAACCGATTGGCTGTTCAAGAGATTGAGGGCATCGTTATATGGCAAGATATTTGGGTAAAAAGATTATGCAAAGTGCACACTTCTGAATTCTTTCAATAGTCTGATCTTGGTTTAAAGTGAGACCCAAAGACCACACTACTGCACAATATTCAAGTGTAGGGCAAATGTAACTCTTTCATCAATTTTAACACCATTTTTCTTAAGTTTGCTAAGAATGTAAAGTATACGTGAAGCATTTGTAAGGAGTTGCTGAACCTGCTGGTCCCATTTAAGGTCATTTTGGTTGGTCACTTCTGGAGGTTTAATGGATGAAATGACCTCAAGTTGGACGTCATTAATTTTTAGATGCAGGGGAGGAGGTGAGTTGTGAAGGAATGAGATCTGCACAGCTTTGCATTTTACTGGGTTTGGTTTCACATCAATTTTTGGAACACCACTCCACAAGTGAGTCAATATGCAGTTGAATACTCGATGATTACTGCTTGGTTATGATCTCAACAAGACTGAGGTCGTCAACATATTTCCAGCGATTTGCCACTGTCTGGGCAGCATCATTAACCATGACAAGGAAAATAATTGGTCCTAGTTTTGTGCCTTGTGGCACACCACAAGTAAGACTGAGAGGGGTGGAAGTACAACCCCCTAAACCAACGGTTGGGGAGCAATGTGATAAAAACTACATATTGTTGGAATGAAAGATCTGTAAACATCAAAATGTATAAACTATTCAACTGCTATTGTGTGATTGGTATGATAAAAGGGTTTGATAAAATATATCGCACATAGATTTACAAAGTTGCCAGCCTTATCAAGGCCATTGTGTGTAATATCAAGCGTACTAATGAGATAATAGTTAGGCGTAAATTGAGCTACCTTTCACATTTCAAAACTGCTGAAGATCAATAACCAGTCTGATGTCCGTCCGATAACTCAGTCTGCCAATAAACCTTCCAAAAACTCGGCTATTACAGACGTTATGGAGATAGGTCGAAGTTGGTCGAAGCTGCTAACTCGGGTTGTTTTAGGAACAGGGCAAACTGAAGCATTTTTCAAATATTTGGTGTTCGACATCGACATTATAAGCAGTCGTGGCGCTACCCACGAATTAGTCTGGTTCCTTGAACAAATTGCCCTTCGGACTTGTGGACTTGTGGCCGGGAATCAGTCTACTCGCGAACATTCATGCGAGGTGGAAATAGAGGGCGCAGTTTTGAAACTTTGGAAGAAAAATGAAAAAAAATTGACCCGCACGTACGTTCAAAATCGACGCACGCTGACCAGAGACCAACTTTTTTTGGGGGGGGGGCTTATTCCACGATCATGAACCGTCACTCTTAGAGGGCGCTATCTTCAAACGAACTGTTCTACAAATAGTCTCAAAAGAAGTCACAAACTGACAGATCAAAGTAAATACAGCGTTCTCTGTGGTAGAAATTATTCCATTTTGGCTAAAAGCAGTGTGAAGGTTTTGAATCCAAGACTAGTTCTAAACAGGACCACTTCTCCCACGCACTGTACAGGACTTCTAGTTCCACACAAGATTAACCCTACACAAGACTGCTGTGTAGTCCTACACAACACCACCGTCCTACACAGAACACTAATTCTCGGCAGGACTAGTTTTCTATGCAGGACCACCAGGCCAATGCACAACTATATTCCTATGAAGAACCACCCACCAGTCCAATACAGAAGCACTAATCCTATAGGCCAACTGGTTTGTTACAGTACAGGACATCACTGCCCGGTTCCACCCTCTTTAAGAAGGGTAAAAGGGTCATCTGTACGCCGCAGACGAAGTAAACGCCGCAGAGCACATAGAAGACCGTCTGATAGTTAGAACCAGTCATATCCAAGATCCAACCTGGTAGAGATGCACGAATAAGAAATAATTAAAAATATTGTCGGACACCAGTAACGTTACATGTATTTTCCCGAGTAGACTGGTTATCAACACGTTCAACTGTGACAAATCATATAGTCCAATCTGTAAGGTCGAATACCAAGCTTCACTTTTGATACAGTGATACCCATTTCAAAATATTTTAGACGGGGGCGGCAAAGTATAATTACATTCTATCCAAGACAACTCGAATTTTTGGAAGTGCATTTTGCGACAGACGGGACGTACCTTTCTGGGGTGTTTATTAGAGATTGACAATGTAGGAGTTACAGTACTACACTTACCCGCAAACACTGGTCCAGTCATAGCACCAATGCCTAGAAATACCACACTCAGTCCAAACCCAACGGCCAACTTGTTCACACCGACAAACTGATGGATTAAGACGATCGTAACGGTAAAAAAGATCCCCGATAAAAGTCCGTGTAGAAACGAAGCTACAACAAAAATGGCATAGCCCTCCAGGTTCAGGAGGAGCAAGGATGCACCAGCGATCACCATGGAGATGGCGGTCACTTGCTCCGCTGATGTCTTCCAACGCACCAGCAGTACGTTTCCTAAGCGACCGAGCAAGCTCCCGATGCCGAACATACTGAGAAGTAAGACCGCGTTAGAGGGCGCCACACCCACACTCTGTGCACGGGGAACAAGATACAGGAGGAACCCCACGTAGGCAATATGGCACTCCAGAAGAATGGCGCACATCAGAGCGAACCGGTAGCTCTTGATGAAAAGGTGGAGTCCCAGAGAAACAAACAGCCTCTGGAGGACTTTTATGAAGGGAGTTAAGTTCGCACTGTTAATATCGAGCGCCGGGACAGCATCCGCCCGGCTACGAGGACGTGTCTGGTGCGCTGCCTGCACTGCTTCGAGGTCAACTGGGGTATCAGGTCGAGATCTCGTGTCGGTGTCGCTACCATCAGGGATAAATTTCTCATTTGGATCCTCTTTCATATCCATCTCGACAAATATAGATATCTCTGTGTTGCCCTGATTCGATTCAGGCTGCTTTGAAGATCTCAGAGGGGCCACAACTCGCTTTGGGCGGAAAAGTGCCGAAAGAGCGACAATGTTTGCCGCAATGGCAGAGGCGACCAGAAACGTACCCCGCCAACCAAAGTTTTCCAGGAGAAGTTGCAATAAAGGTGGTACCGCCGTGATGCCAGTTCCAATGCCAGCGAAGACCAATGCGTGCGCTATTTTGTACCTCCTTTTGAAGTAAACCGAGACGATAACTACACTTGAATTGAAGGAAATCCCCAATCCAATTCCTATTAAAAACAAGCAGGAAGAGTTTAAAAATATTAAAACCTTTTATGGAGTCCTTTTAAGCTTCGGAAATACAGGTTCGAGTTGATAAGAAAACAAGCATATTTCTGCGTTTGTGTTGATGTTTAACATGGACAATGAATGAATGAATAAATTACTACCGAGACAATGCTGTCCGCGAAGTTTCTTTTTTGTTCTCACGGGCAGCCACAGTTTTGCCAAGCTTGGTTGGCCAACGAAAGATCTATATAGTGCAGTCCACATCGAAATAGGGGCAGAAACTTATGACACTCTTGGTGACAGAAAATCCAACCGACCTTCTGTGTCATTTTGAGCAACAATCCTGGACAAATCTCGTTGAGCCTCCAACCCCCAGACCCCCCTTCAATGTTGGGTCTGTGCACGTGGTCTGCGCTCCGGCTGGACATGACAACATTGACCGGGGGAATGAGCTGTAGAGTGTATGGCTATTGCCAAATGTCCCAACAATTTTGTCCAGGATTGTAGATTGTAACCACTGTTTACTTAACCACTGACACTCCGGGCCCAATACTATAGATTCGCAGCAACACCAAGGCAGATCCAGAATCATGTTTGAAGGGTCAAACTTTTTTTTTAAGAGTCCGAAGAATTTGGACGTTTTTCTATGTATCTCTTGGTGGCCTTCTTGGGGATGAGTAAACTGGCACGCTATTTGAGGGAAGAGAAAAGAAATGTCATGAAAGGCCCTTCGTGACGTTGAATGCCATTACCGATAACAGCAGCTGTTAAGTAGAGCTGGCGTATGTCGGTCACCCAGCAGCTGCCGAGGAATCCAAGAGACATCAAAACTCCGCCAATGATTCCTGAGACTCTGCAGCCAAGTCGCTCCGTCAGAATCCCAGCAAAGACACCTTCAAAGTAATTACCAAAAAGCAAATGAATAGATCCCTTACTTGGTAATAGTTCCGTTGACATTGTAAGGAACCATCGAAGCGTGACACCATATGAACCAGAAAGTGTAGAGCAAACGTATGGCAGAAGTACGCCACGTGTTGGCTCTTGATATCGACAAATTGTGCGCGTGACCCATTTGCTTTGTACTAGAGAACGAGAAATGGTTCCCCTAAAAATTTCATATGGGCCCGTATCACAAATGTACTGGCAGATTTCAAAAACGTTTGTAGGAGAATAAGAATGTTTACAACTGGTTTGAGATTACCACTGAGACATGGCAAGGAAGACAAAATGCTTTCAATCACGGCCGTCTCTTTGTCGTTGGTGCCGAAGTCTTCTTTCCAGCTGAGGTACAAGACGGTCGAGGCTCGCGGCAAACCCCACTGGATCGCCAGGGACATGTGCGCTGCGATGGCAACCACTATTCCCCAGCCGCCTTCTGTTGGTTGATCTGGCCGATCCACCGCTCCACGCCCAATGCACATTTTCAGCTGACGAGGCTCAGGCGGCCTCCACGGGGAATCCTGCCAAGGTGAGTGGTTTTGAACTGGGGAATATGTCTTTCTTTAGTTTTGAAGACGCCGGATCTACTGATAGGCCCAATCGACTCGTACAAATTAACGACGAAACGACTCCAGCCCAGGTATACACGTGCGTGAGTCCATCAGCCAGTCTAGACGACATGCACGATATGGTGCATGATGCCAGCTTGCCTGATGCCACACGTTGTCCCCAATAATGTTCCACGTTTCGGATCGTTTTGGCTCCGAAGACCCATAATTCATGGGTGCTGCTTGGTCAACTTGAGAAGGTCGAATAAGAAGACGCCAGTCTGCATGCTAAGTCACCAAACGTACACAGACACAGTGTCATAGACGTTATAGTCTGCAAGGGAAGGTCTGAATGACCACAGGACCTGATGTCCGATCATTTCAGACTTACTGCAATACACCAAGACCAGCCCTCAGAGCCCCAGAGATTATCTGGAGTCCACTCCAATGCGCACAGATTTACACAACTTTCCATCGTGACACTGATCATGCATTGGCATTTTCCAAATATACCCTAAATGGAGGTTTCACTGTGACCCTTGCGCGCACTCTTAAAATTCATTAAATTATTCTACCTTTGCTTCCGGATATGAGACATTAAGGTTTGGTTATTGGGCTCATCCTGTTGACATAACAGGTTCTATATAGCCATACTATAAAGGTTGCCCGCCAAGTGATTTGTTGCGCGACAAATTTTGTTTCCAAGGTCACAAATCAACATCGAACAAAATGTCAAAAGATGATCAATGGCGACAAAAATAATGTTGGCTTCCATTCAGTGCTGGATTCCCATGCTATGAACAACAACTGGACGGGTGGATTCAGGATTTTTAGCCAGGGGTATTGGTGGGAAATTTTTGTTCGTGGGGGATACTATACGTAGTTTCGATTCGAATTCCAACCTTAACGTAGACAGACATGCACTTGGCCAGGGTTTCAGTTCCTGCCTTAATCCAAAGTTTTTCCTGCAATACAATTTCTGAGTTCTCAAACTTCTGTCCATTTTCTCCGATTAGGTTTCCACACGATCGAGTCCAGGGCAAATGCACTGAGCCGTTTTAGGAACTGTTGGTTTGCCTTCTTTTCGCATCAAATATTCGTTATCGACACTTGACACGATTTTAACCATGTTTTCTCGGCAAACTTCGAGTGAACAGTGAATCAATAGCTTGACGTGACAGTTTGTGACGTCGGGGAAGAAAAGTCATGTACCCAGTATCTATCAGATCTTGTAGATTATGCGTCTTGGGATGTGCTGTAATCTAACAGATTTCTGGCAGACTTCTGTACA